AAACTCATAAACTCATCAAGTCCAAGACATGTTCGTCCTTTGGAAAAATTGAAGGGCCAGCAATGAGACTGTTACATCTTTTACAAAGATGTGAACCATAATAATAACAAAAATAGATATGTAACAAAAACACAAACACCCACGAGCAAGCTGCCCACCCTGGTGCTTGAAATGAGCTCACCATGCCCATGGGTCTCCCACGTGCAGCAGAGGTCGATAGCAGTAGTGGTGCCGACCTGGGTCGAAGGGTTCGCTTTGCCAACGCTTCGGGGTGGGAAACTCCGACCAATCGAAATGTGAAGGATATGGCCAAGGAAGGCTCTGAAAAAGGATATTGCCAGGTCAGGCAGGGCTCTATGGGTCAGGCACATACTCATACGGTACTTTGCTGCAGAAACTTGGAAAATGCTGGTGATAGCAAAACCCTGATGATGTTCACCCCACCATGTGATCCTTTCAAACCTTTGGTGTTCAACAAACGTTAATGCATGCCCCGCACTAGAATCTAGCACGTTCTGTCTCGACTCGGCGTGTTGTATCTCCTCTTTTCACAGCGTCCAAGCATGATCACATCGACATTCGCCCGCTCAACAGCCAGTTGTGGAGCCCAGCCAATCTCGTAGGCAATGCCGAAGAAATCACATGCCCGGCCTTGGCCGTTTTGCAACATGTCTCATGTCTGATCAAAGAAGCTGCACAGGAAGCTCATCTGATGGTCTTGCTTCTGTTTCTTCAGGCCATGCAAATGCTTCTTTGGACCCCTCGCTAACAAAGTGTCAGTCATATCTGCTTTCAGCGTGATTCATTGTGGCAGTTTCAATTAGATTGCTACTTGACGTCTGATTCTCCGGCCAAGGACAACAACATCTGAGATCAAGTAAGAAACCCTCCAAGCAAGAAAGAAAATGAAAACTCATCTGCCTGGGTCTCCGCCTTAAGCTCTTGAAGCTTTTTGGGCCATACTCTCAAGTCCAAGACCCCCCGGCTGAAATCTTTCTGCTGGAAGAGCTGATTCCCTTCTTGCAGCGCTAAGGACACGCTCTCGTCATCGTAGCCTCCATGGAACGGCCACGGAACGGCGGGATCGACGAAGGTGCTTCATCCACCAACTCCCAAACAAGCTTCGGCACGTGTTTTGCGCGCAACGACCCCCCAAAAAGAATCCTGTCTTTCAACCTAAGACCCTGCGATTTGCCCTGAAGAAGAGGTCTTCTTCCACGCTGCATTCCACTCGTCTTCGTTTCTGTGCGTGCATCCCCCCCGTTGTCGGCCTTGCCCCGAGGACAGGTATTGGATCAAGAGTTCCTGCACCGCCTGGCGGCGAAAGAAAGAACGCGCGCCCTCCGTCCGACGCACGTTGGACCAGTGAGGTCCGTCCACGGGTGAGGTCCGGTGCTTGGCAGCTGTATGGGAAGTGGGTCAGAAGTGCGGGGGATTCATCGGATTCATCTTCGGTGGTAGGACGTGGAAAACTCACAAAAAGCAACCAGGCTACAAATGTGAGTTGTGGGCACCCAGAAGAACGGTTGACCCAACAAGAAGCTCTTGGTACCACAGAGTTTGCGGACCGACAGTGTCATCCAAGCGGACGACAGAGTGCTGCTTGGGAAGCAGACAGAAGTGGATGGAATGGAAATTGTCCGCTAGGACTTCTGTCAGCATCTCATTGTATATAGGTGTGTATTAGAATAGGGAGACCTCCCAGACAAAGACTCCCTAGAAGAAGGGAAATGGACTAAACTAAACCAATTGGTCGGGGGTCTTCCCCTTTAAAATTATGCTAGCTTATCTTGATGCTTTGATGAGGGCAACTCGTATTCCCAAAAACAGAAGCCTTGTGGACCTTGTGTTGAACCTACTATGCATGGCATCTTCTAGTTTACTCACCCCGCTGAAATCTATGCTACAGGAACAGTGACAACCCAACACCACCCCAAATGTGCCTTGGTTGGATTTATCGTTCTCCAAAGCTTCCCATCTTCCAACCAACCTCATCCTCCTCATGCTCCACATCCTCCACATCCCCATCTTCCCCATCTTCCATCTTCCCTCCGCTACATCCACCCCACCCCACCACCGCTGATTTCAGCGCTCAGCGCCTTCCTCCGTACTTCCCTCGCTCCATCCTCGCATCGCCTCGCATCGCCGCGCCAGCGCCGCGCCAGCGCCTCCAAGGGCTTCGGACACCGCAGGGGCCATGCCTTCGCTTCGCCATCGCCCATCGCACCGCACCGACATGCACCTGTCGACGCGGAGCCGCGAGCTGCGACACGGAGCGGCACCGTGGTCCGGAGTGGAGCGCAGCAGCTGCAGGAGATTCCCTGGAGAGCCCTTTTGGTGACCTCTATTTGGGACCACCCAGTGCCTTTTCCTATCAAAACAGGGGGTCAAGGAGCTCTAATGCATTAAATGCAATTAATTAAAAGTTGCTGTTGATACTGCTGCTAATACCAGGATAGATGCAGGGAGAGTGAAAAGACGTGAAAGGCATCTTAGCTCTTGCGGCGAAGAACCCACTCGAGGCCTCGGCGTCGGCTCTGGGATACGGTCGGTGTGGAGGATGGCTGTGGAAGTCCGTGTGATGGGATGCTATGACTTGCTTCGTGGGATGGCTCGGGCAGGGACTGCACCCTGCTGCATTTGAGCTGGTACCAACTGAGATTTCTGCCCACTTTGTAGAGTTGCTTGATATTCCGGCTTGAGATCATGGTTTGATACAAGCTTCCTGAGCCAAAGACAAGATGGTGCAAGTTGAGTGTCTTTTTGGTGAGGGAGATTGAACGGCTTGACGGAAAGCCGACCCAAAGCCGGGTCTCTAAGCTAAATGTAGCCAACAAAGGCTTGTGTGAAGTATTGTCGATCACATGACAGTCACGCAATTGTTTATTTTTTATTATACTGTATGATTGTGTCCGGCCGGTATTGTCTGTCTACTGTATTGTTGTGTCCAGTATTGTCTACTGATGTCTGCTGTCTGATTGTGTCCCGTATTGTCCGGAAATGCACCGTCGTATCCATTCTGCACCCCTGCCAATAACCAACCACACAGACTGGAAACAAGGTTCTTCAATCTACATATCGCAGCCGAACTCGTTCACATTTCGGAACCGAAGCGGTGCTTGGTGGGAGGGACAGAGTCCAAGCTGAACGACACCGGAACACCGGAGGACAACGGGTGAAATCCAAGGAACCACAGCTCAAAGGAACAAGGTAAATAAGCGACCTCGCTTTTGGGTCTGAAATTGACCCGAAGCTATGGAGTTTCCGCTTCATCCGGAGTTCTTACGAGCCATCTGGGCGGATCAACTCCTTGTTGGCCAATCTCCACTCTCAACTCCTCTGCCAAAGTCCCAACGCAGACATCGGCCCTTTCTTTGGTGCAGTCAACCATATCCCAGCCAACTCTCTGTGCGTCACTTGCGGAACCGGCAGAAGTCGAAAATCCCAGCGGCTCGGGTCACATCAACAGTGCTCAGGAGAGGTTCAGATGGTCTTCATAAGTGAATCAACAAATCATCAGGCAATCATACATCGCAATCAGACAATCATGCAACCCATATCATCCCATATGATACATCAAGGAAATCACCCCATGAATCTAGGGGTAGCACATGTTGTCCTAGCCCGAAACGTCATGGCTCATCGTCAGTAGCCGGGTCTGGGAGTTCACCGCAGCGCTCGCTTTTTCCTATTCGCGGATGGTCGACAAGCCATTCAGAAGGCATTCACAAAAAAGAAGCACAACGGCATGATCAGGCCCTCGTTCGCCCACCTCAATGCCTCGCCGACCCAAGTGGCTTTTCAGCTAGAGACATGAACCCCCCCCTCAGAAGCTTGACTCCATCCACGGTGCCCATCCATCACCCAAGGGCGGCCTCGTCCCGGTACCGCCCGGAGGGTGCTGGAACGAAGGGGGGCACCCCATGAATTCACGATGCATGCAGCTGATCCGTCAGGATCCACTCAGCTGCTCCGTCCTGCTGAACCCTCAGACTCTGCTCAGTCGAAGACCCCTGGAGCGCGCCGCCTTGAAGGCGAGGTGCGAAGATGTGTAAGAAATAGATGGATCAAATGTGATCAAGTTCTGTTGCGTCCTCTTTCTTGGGGAAAAAAGAAATGAAAAACGGGATTTCAGCCCTGTTGTTTGATGAGCACTTCTGCCACTTTCGGTCCGTTTGAGACTTTCTTTGTCTGAAACAACTCAATCCCGGCTTTGAGGCAAACAAATGTTGCATTACCCTGACTACATTATGGGAATGACTCACCCATCTCCACCAATGCCCACGCCCTCTGCCCAGGCCTCGCGGTCATCGTCCGACCTGCAGGCGGTAGGCTGGTGAGCGATCGAATGTGACTCTTGATTCATTTAAGAAACCATTCACAGTGTACAACATTTTCATGTATGGGTGGCTTTATTATTCAAAAGTCTACATATCATTAGGAAAAATGTTTGGCCTTGCCGATTGATCTGCCGATCTATCTACCAATCTATCATGTCAAGCTCTGCAAGAATGTCACCTACAATGGAAAGTGGGGTGGGAGAATTCTTCAACCCAACTTCCTTTGACAGTGCAGCAGCTGAACATCACTGAAACCAAGGGTGATCCGCCCCATTTCAATCCCTATATACTCAGGCCTTGCAAGTGCAATACAAAATGTTTCAACAGAACAACCCCAACTCACATGTGGGGAGACCAAACTCAGCTGAGGAATTTGGTCTTAGTCTTTGTAGAGTCGGCAGGGAGAATACTCGAGTAAGCCATGCGATCATCCATCTATGTGTCACAAATGTGTGAATCACCTGTTTAGTACAAGTATGTCTTCCACCGCTAACGGCAGCAAAAGGCACACACGGGTGAGCCCCGCCGAGAAAGGTGCGCGCGAGGAGAACGCGCTGCTCCTTTTCGAACGACTCAGCACACAGCATGGCAATGTTCTGGTCTATTCCGGAGGGAGAAACCCTTGTGGATCAAAGACGCTTGGCCATTCCTTCATTGGTGTCAGGCGAAGCCAAAGCCAGTATCATGTTCCAGAGCTGCTTGAAGGCGAATGAGCATCATCTCCTTCCAGATCAGGATGATGTCATATGTCATCCTACCTTCTACAGTGAAAACTGGAACCCAATCTAACCCCTTTCTCAAGTTGGAAGTTCACGTGATTACAAAAGAGTTGCTTCTCAAAACCAATAAGTTATGCTGTAAGTTCTACATCTCAGAACCAGGCTAACTTCAAAACCAATGAGTTGCTTCTCAAAGCAGTCTCTTCTCTCAAACTTACTTTGAATCTCTATCTATAAGGACATCTTGGAAGACTCGCCGATGTCCTCAGTGGGATACTCCGGGAGGTTCAGTTGGTTGATGCATGTGTTGGCCTTGGTCAAAGTCACACATGCCGCACACATGTGCCCACACTGTAACGAAACTGCTTGTGGCGAGAAGAAAAGCAAGAGAACAACTGTGAAAGTAAGTAACTGCCAACAGTGTGTATTATCTTGTATCTGAACTAAACAAGAAAGTCTAAATGAATAAGTCGACATTGGATGAATTTCCGCACCAACAGTCCACAGTCGAAGTCTCCCAACACCAACATCACCAACCCATTCACCCAGTACGTGAATATGCTTCCAGGTTTCTGTGGGCAAGTGGTCCAGCTCTGCCAAACTTCGGGAGATGACGAAGTTCCTCGCACCGACCGATTCGACGTCATCGGCCCAGCAGTCCGACGTCGACGGCCATCGACATCGACGGCCACTTCAGCCCAGGGAGCTGGTGTTGGGGATGACGGATGTTTCGTTCGACGCGGGTGCCTTTTTCATCCATGAACCATGGTTTTGGTGGATGAGATGAGATAATATGGTTTCTGGGCAGAGCGGTTTCCTGCAGAAACACAGGGTCGGTTCAATTTCATCGTTGTTGGATGGAGAATAGACATAGTGGGAGATGATCCATCTGAAGTATTTCAGGGAGACACGCAAGAAAAGAGAGTGAATTCAACTGCTTTCAGCAGCACTAGCAATGGTCTACCTTACAAACACTAACACAATTAGAAGAGCGCCTTGCTCCGAAGTGAGTATCTGTCTCTCTACCGACTTGTCATCCTTGAGGCCGAAAACCTCCTGAGACCTTGAAGAATTGGGTTCTGCCAGACCTGTACCCATATACCGAGACAGTCTTAATGAGGCAAAAGGTGTACAGTGTACAGTCTAAGAGCTTTACAGACCTGTAAAGCTACCAATTAACTGGATTGCTCATCCCTCCGATTCTTCAGAACACCGAGAAGCAACGCCCTGAGGCCCAGGATAGGGACGCGATCGCAGCCCGTGCAGAAGAGCAGCAGCTTCCGGCGCCTCGGCTGGCGGAAGGTTTCCACCCTAGTCCTTCCGGCTCATCGGTGGTGAAAAAGCCGTGTAAAACGAGAGTTCCTTTAGCGAGACGGGGCTGCCTAATTCCTCCTCACCCTTTGGATTGTGTTGAAACCACTCTGACTTTTACGGTGTTTCAGGTGAATCCACCTGAAAAGAGCTGCACATCCTGCGGTGTCCCATCCGGCTCATCTATCCCAGACCACTCCTCCGGCTCCGCGTTCGCGTGGGGCAGCCGGGTGGCCAGATCTCAGACATCCCGTGCACCACGCGCCAGAAGGTCTTCACCACCAGGTGATCTGCATGGTACCCTGCCAGATCAGGTCTAGACCACTATAAAACACGTGTGAAAGCATGAAACGAACATGAAACGAACATGAGCGAACATGAAACATTGCAAGAAAAACAAAGAAGGAAAGGACCAAAACGGGGCAGGTCGAGGGAGGGATTGATTGATCGCTTTCTGGCTACCAGCTGCTAGGCTGGTTGGACATTCACTGTTGTGCCCGCTCGGTGCCCCTAGCCTTTGAGTCGACATGCCTGGCCTTCACTCGAAAAGAGGTTAGAGAGAATAATCGTAGGCACTAATGTAGGGCACCACCAGTCACTGGTGTGGTCTGGTACCTGGTGGTCTGGTGTCCCCAGTTGTTCCTATGTATAGGACTCCCGGGACCCAGCAACTCCAGATGGTAACCAACACCTTTTTCATTGGTGAAAAAACAATCACGAGATCAGGATGATGAGTGAAGTATGGTCATCCTGGAGTAGATTAGATATTGGCACAATGCAAAGAGAAAAGCACACCCAATTATAAAGCACAAATGTTCGATCCGGATCAACTGTTGGCTCCTTTCTTCTGGCCACATCAGGTGATGCAGGTCCGACCTTTCTTCTGGCCGGCCACGGAAAACAATGCCAAGAAACCGTTGGCATAGATGCAGCTGAGCTCAAGCTCCTGGCGTCAAGATTCGAAGGCCTCGACATTTCACCTGGACCATCAAGTAAGTGGCAAGCTGGACTCTTAACTGAAGATTTCTCAGGAACAACGTCATGTGAGTCTGGGCGGAGAAGACCCTTAGGCATCTTTCTGCCCAACATGCTGGACGTACAAATCTCCCATGCTGCACCAACTCCTGGAAATTGCCCAAGTAAGGCAATCCACACACAAGAAGCTCCAGGTCATTCGCAGTGCACAAAGAGAATGCAGGACCCACTGCCATACCTGAGGTTCCAAACTTATGAAGCGCACTGTCGCACCTATACAATCATGCATTTCGGGTGAAGCAAAACCTTGGGTTGCCCGACCTGGTTGCCACCTGTGGGGGGGGGCGACAGTTGTTTGAGAGGGTCCTCTACGTCCAATCCGAAGTGTCTGCGGATGTTTTGCACAGGTCCATACACAATCAGGAGCAAGACGCAAAGCAGCGCGGATTGGACGAAGGCCTTCACTTGTTCTTCGCTGCCGCCGTACAGTGCTCCCTGGGCATACCTTGGCTGTTGGATTGTCAGAGGCCAAAGAACTGAAAAAATGACACGAAAACAAACGAAATCCAAGTCGCTGTTGTGTTGCATCACTTAAAAAGGATGTTGCCTCTTCTTCAGTGGCATGCACTGGTGCCCCCAAAACAGCAACTCGCGGTTTTAACCGGATGAAACCAAAAAGACACCTGAAACCAATAAGGTTCAAGGATGTTTTGCAGGTGCACGGACTTCCCACAAGGAAGGTCTTGTTCGGCCGAACATCGTCCTGTGGAGTCGGCCGAACACAGGGGAGCTTCCACCTTCAGCAAAGAGAGCAACCTCTCCAGGTGGGTGAAAATGGGCCTTTAACCCGTTGGGGGAAACACCCATCCGATGGACACACCAGAACAGGACGGTCTACGAAGCTGGCGAGGATGGTCACATCAGGCCATCAGGCCCTAGTCGGGCCGGCTGATGCAGGCCATCCATGTCACACAAGTCTTTTTCGGTTTCTGTAGAGTATGGGGGGCTACCATATCCAATATTCAATATTGAGAAGAACCCCATATTGGAGATCACCGATCAACCAACAACTTGTCGCTGAACCACCCGAAAGACCCGTTGCAAATGTTGGAAAGTGGACCAGTTCGGTGCCCACTCCGGACACCGAACATCTGAATAATTGAACATCATAAACACCCGAGCAGCTCGTTGATGAAGTGTTCCAACTCTTCTGCCTCCACCTCCTCAGCCCCCGTCTTTCCCACTAAAGCCACATCCTGCGGTCGCGAGCCAGGCGAGCCGGAAAGCATTGATTGGTGGAAAGGGACCACTTCGAAGTGCTAACATTGCTCAAGGGAGGAGAAGAACAACCTCCACCAAGCTGCGAAACTGCTCAAATACATCTCATACCCAACTGGTAACTTCAACAAACATTCCAAAGAATACCAAGCTTCCAAAGAAACTCTGGCCTCTTGCCATCTCTTGCCATCCGTTCAAATGCTTCTGGCCTGACCTGCCCGACCCGTTCGGTCCGTCCTTCTCAGCTCCCGGAAGCCTCACGGACCAGGTCAGGCACAGGCTCCTCCGCCGCGGATGTTGGGAGTTCAGTGGGATCTTCAACGGGAGAAACTGGAAGTAAGACATGGATGAGATATGAGAACACATATATATATATATATGTATATATTGTAGACTGCTGATGGTTTGAACTCCCCTTCCAGAATGGTTTTACATCTCTGGCAAAGGGGAGGTTTTTCTCATCGACTGTCACATTGATTGCTGTAACTGGTTATGTAAGTTCAGAGTTCGCAGCGCAAGTGTGCAGGATCAAACGGCCCATCTTCAACAAGCTGTGGCTTAAACATCTGGCGTTTTCTACGGTTCGTTACTCAGGCGAAACGAGACTGGTGTTGTACCAGGCCTGTGAGGGCCTATGCACAGAGAGAGAGAGAGAGATGTCTCCAAAGTGTTGTCTTCAAAGAAAGTGGTCTCCAAGGCACAATGATGATATAAGATCCAACCAAGCTGAAGACTTGCACAAGAATAGGCCCTTTGTGAACAGACACATTGCGATGTGCTGCTTCTTGGGCCACCCTGTTGAAGAGCCAAGAACATCTGGCTATTCATGTTGCTTCACCACAGCTTCCAAGACTGAAAAGGGACGGATTGTCCACTTGCGGCCAAGGCACTTCGGATCATGTTTTCCTCAAGATGAAGACACCGAGGGAGAGTCTGGACTTTTAAACGAAACATCATTCATTCAGTCTACAGGAAACTCTTTCTCCTTTCAACTCCAATCCTCCAAACAGCAACCCACGTTAGCAGCTTTTCCCAGAACAAGATCTTCCTTTTCAATCAAATGGGCTGATCCCAACAAACCAATCTAAACCGTGGACGCGGGTTCGGCTTTCAGGAAACGAACTCGTTGCATCTTTGAACCATTGCCTCTTAAAACCCTAGAAACGTCCAAGACTCTCAAACTCTTCAGCGATCTGTAGAGTGAGGGATGAAGGCTTTCCAGGTCCTGCATCAGCTGCACCATTTCATTCCAGGAGTCACCCTGAAACGTGCTCATGTGCTCAGAAACAGCAGAAATTGCGGAATCTTGCGCGTTTGTCGTTCCGGAGGTAGTGAGCTGCTCTAGAGTGGCTGAACATGCTGACAGAATTCAACAAAAACTTGGGACCTGAACATGATGTTTCACGAGTTGAAACAGGCAAGGGTGGTGACACTTGCTCCTCCAAGCGTGGGTTCACCGTCTGCTGCACCAGGAAGCGGTACATCAAGGGGTGAAGCCTGCGCGAGTTGGTCTATCGGGTGAAAACCTGTAGCTCGTGCCCATGGTATCCTGGTGCCATAACCCACAGCCATTGGGAACTCCACATTGCGGGCGAGTGATGGCACCTTCCTACACCTTGCTGGACCCGAAAATCAAGGAACGACGAGCAGCTACATCAGCATTCATCCCGGCAGGGTGCAGTAGCGCCTAAGGAGGGGTGCCTCGCCCGATTGGACTTTCTCAGCAGGTGAAGTTTGGAGAAGATCTTCCGGGAACGATCTCTCTCCACCTTGGAACATGTGGATTTCCTCCCATGTGTGTCCTTGAATCGATAGACATGTTGTGATGCTTTTTTGGGGGACCATCAACATGTATCATGGGATCTGTTGGACCCGAACGGCGCCTGAAGTCCAAGTAGATTGCATTGTAGACCTGAGACCCAGTTCGAAAGCCGCGTCCTCATCCAGTCCTCATCCAGTCCCCTCTTCTCAGCCGTCTGGTCCGTCTCCCTCCCGGCAGAATAAAGCCTGGACATCTGCTATAAATGTAGACATCCCTTCGAGTCAGTGCTCATCGAACATCAAAAGAGGTCGGCTCACCCACTGGAGATATGCTACATATCAGTGTGTGTGTTTAAATAGGGATCCCCTGGCCCAAGGGATTTTGGTCTATCGTCCTTCTTCCAGGGAGTTGAACTGGGAGGTCTCCTTAATTGAGCTACACACCCATATCCTCTCCTTCTATGCCTTTGTATGCTTTTGTTGGGTGCTTTCGAATGTTTGGTCTCCAACAACCCTGCGTTCTTGTTGGTCCTTCTTACAGAGCCCCCACGAAGAATCCCCGGATTCGTGCCACCCGCCGGTGGAGCAAGTACGATCGGTTGACGAAGAAGCACTTGTTTGGGGGGCAAGTCCTTTGGTCCAAAACAAACACTGCAAGATGTCGAATATTTTCTCCAAGAGGCGGCTAAGCCCACAATCGCCCCAGCCACTTCAGCCAAATGTTCCACCCAGCTCCTGGGTTATTTTCAGTGTTCTTGCACAGGCTTATATATAATATCGGAGGTGTTCCTTAAAGTTCATACCCAGGACGTCTCACCAAGAAAGAAAAATATATATATATATGTTAAGAATCCTTTCACCGGAAAGAAACATTGAAATTCTTAGGTTACCAATTGCACAAAGATTCGTCACATATAGCAGGGCGGCGGTGGAAGGAAGAGGAATTGGTTTACTGAAGGCGCCAAGGCACTCATCGTAGAGGACTCCTTCCGGTGGATCACTGGCCTGGCTTTCGGAAGGCTCACTGTTCAAAAAGGAAAAATCGACGTTCACCCAACTCAGCCAGGGATATATACCTCTTTCCACGTAGGCTTCACTTGTGTGTTGTTGTGGATGTCTTCCATGAACGATCGTCAACGGAAGCGTTCGCGGAACAATGAACCAGAGAAATTGAAGAGTGACTTGTGAAAGCCTCACTGACTTGGGTGCCACAGGGAAGAGACAAATGGGCCCTTCTTGGATCTGGGGCCCCCTTACACATCCAAGCCGTTGAATCACCATTGCTAACATCATCGTGTCCGAAAGTCTGAGACTGTGGGTTGGGCGACTGTCTACAGTACCAGCCACCGGTGTTTGCTTCGTTTTCTCAGGTTCTTTGCTACAACATAAGATTACAGTAGTAGGTCATGACTGGGGTGCTCAGGAGCTTTCCTTCCCACTCGATCAAACAGTCGCCAACGGTCCAGGGAGGTCCTCCGAAATACAGTTTGTTTGCCCCTGAATCGTGTGTAGAAAAAACACTGAGCAGGGAATGCTGAGCCACCATATCGTTCTTCTCCATCACTGGAACCTACCCAACACAAGCGCCAGTATATAACCCATTGTGAACAGGACTGCGGATGGAAAAGAAGTTTTTTCACAACCCTTGTTCATCATCTTGCTTGAAGCGAAAGTGTTTCTTTCCGCCCAAACCAAAGGAAACCTTCCTCGGGCGTCGCCCAGCTATAGCCGCCGGTCATCCACGCCGACCGGAACGCCGGGCCACACCTGCACCTGCTTTTGCTCCGGATGAAACCACAAGAGGCCCGGCCACTCATCCAGCTCAGTGAAGAGCCTCAGTGAAGTGCCCGAGCCCTGCATTTTGAATAGAGAGACCTCCCAATTCAACAGACCAAAACCCACTGGGCCAGGGGGTCTCCTTTTAAATACTAACCCATTTGGCAGGCAGGTCATGTTGGATGTCCGGAAATCCGAAATTGGAGATGTGATACTATACATTCCATGACATCAGGATGTGAAAAGAACTGTTTATATAAGTGTTGCTCGATTCCAAGCAATCACCCACCAACCTTTCCCGGACCCTTTTACGTAGGCCCGCCCCTTGATGCCAGGTGCTGCGTCTTCCCATAAAGTTCACGCAAGACCAGGTGCAAGCATTCTTTTCCTTAGCGCTTGGTTCAGGCAGGACCAGGTCAAAGAGCGGAACTGCACCTTGTGAGTCATTTTGCCACTGTTCTGGTGGTTATCTCATTGAAAATCCTCTCCAAAACATAGAAATGGACCATGGACATAAAACATGGCGTGTGAAAACAAAGCACAAAAGTCAGAAAGCAGGCGAAGCAGAAGTGATGACAACAGAAGAAGTGTTGCTAAAGAAGATGTCAAAATAAATCCAGGAAACAACCAAGGAATTCCCTTGGTTGTAAACCAAAACGATAAGCATGATGACAAGGCAACTGCTTCTTCCCCCATCTGCTCTGAAGCTACTCTGGTTCTGAAGGCGACCTCCACTTGACAAAATCGCCCGAAAGCCGTACATCCGCCAAGCCGTGGGCCTTCCCAACCAAAGCTACCCCAAACGACCCAGCACAAAGCTACCTGATCCAGCAGAAAAGTTCATGGAGTAGCGGTTTTGTGGTCTTTGTATGAGGTCCGTTCTCCAGTAACATGAGCTCCGTTCTCTGACCTGTAGTAGGGAAAACCTCACCCCCCAAAACATCCCCGGCAGCCGACCCGACGACTCGGGAAACACCAAGCGGCGGAGACCTCCGGCGTCGATGCCCTGCTCACCCAGGAAGTCCACGGTCAAAGGAAGGCAGAAACCTCTCGGTTCGGTCGACGGCGGAGACGACGGTGGACTTCATCGCGGGATTCCATGGCGACAGGCGACAGGAAGAAGCGATCGAAAAGAGGTCTCCGGGTGTTCCCAAAAGGAATTGCTTGAAGTCACGAGGAGTCCAAGAACAAGGGGGCAATAGTATGGCTATAAGTTTAAAATGTCATCGTCCAAAGAGTTAGCTTAGCTCCACCTCTGAACGAAGCTCCAGTCGGTCAGAGTCATCTCCAGTCCCAGCGAAGCACCTGGTCTTTGTCTGTCCAAGGAGGTAGGTCTTTCATCGGTGTTTCACTCCTCCAGTTTCATCGTGGCTGCATATCTATGTGGGCTGTGGAGTGGGAGGGATCTCGAGATTTCCTGGAATTTGGATCCTTGGATAAAGCATGATAAAGCAAGCTTCATGTCATGTCACCCAGTATGCGCCCGACCGCTGCAAAGGTCACTGGAGGCTGTCGAATCTGGGTCCGGGTCTTGACCAATCGACCCCAACCAGGTCAGCTCTGCTCCTCGAGCTCAGTTCAGCATCACCACACCGCCACACCCATTCCGCCGAAGGGACACTGCGGCAGATTTCTCCGGCGCCACCAGAGTTGCCCACAGAAGTCCGACAAGACGTGCCTCGAAAATACCAAAGGACTCGGAAAAAAAAGGGAGAGGGAGATCCCCAACCGAGATCAACCGAGAGGTTTTGGTCTAGTTGTCTTCTTCCTTGGGATCTTTGCCTGGGAGGCCTCCTTCTTTGAGCTACGCAGCTACACGCCCAAATAGGCCCGAAAGGAGGAGGATTGAAAACCATCCTGCAGCAGCCAACCTCATGAGTCTGTCTGGGCCATGTCGGTGGCAACAAAAAATGTACTCCTCTTTCAATGAGCCGCGAGAAAAAGGAGCCGCGAAAAAGGGAGACTGAATGATGGATCATGACACTGGATTTGGTGGCATGCTAAGTGATTTGGATCAGTCAGACAAGTGATTTGCTGCTGACACTGGATTTGGGCTCGGCCCGTCGGCCCATCTCCAAAACAAACCCAACAGTCCAATGCCACTCCACAAGCCAAAGGCGCTCTCTTCGAACCCTGTACACAAGGAGCTGCTGAAAGTGCCTCAAGTGCAACGAAAACTCAATCTCCCTACACTCCAACAGACCGGAAGCGGCTTTGCATCGAATCTAATCCTTGAAGATTGGGCATCACTTAGACTTCGCTTGTTGTGCTTGCGACGGTTTCACTCCCCCAAGGCACATCTCCACAGCAGCTGCTTGGGCACCCTCTCTTCCTCAGTTCAGACCGGCCACACTTAGACTCCATGAGTCTTGACCGAACACATGACTATGAAAGGAGCAGACCGAAGCTATGGTCACTTCGTCACCTTGCGACCAATGGTGCACCCTTGGAGTGTGCCTATCTACTCGTTGCTTCAACAAACTGGAGCTTCCCACCCTCAGAGATTTGTCCTTGCCTTGAATCTTATCGACACATTGACAACTCCACCGTTAAAATAATGCCGGACAAATAGGCTTGAACACCTCCTTGCTTGCCCCTCATGCGGCCCAAGCCTAACCGACCCTTCTCAACCAATTCCCCTCCCAGCCGTTTTTGGCCGCCAGAGCCACTCATGAGCTTCGCCCAAATCTCTTGCGAGCATATTTGGCTCCTCAGCTCCACGTCGAACGCCAAGAGCCGTCGCTTGGCGCCCGCATTCAGCAGAAACGGGTAGCGACCTGTGCCGAGGGCTCCGCCGGCAAGAAGCGCACGTCGCGCTCCAGCTCCGGCAGAGACAAGTGAAGGTGCTTGGTGAAAGAAGCCGAAAGGGTTGAAACGAACACAAACAGCTGGACTGACCAGTCAACCCTCTCCAACCACCTTGCTTCACTGCAGCTTTCTTTAAGGCCAAGCAGCAGTAGGAAAAGACCAAGAGCTGCTCTTGCTGCCACTGACCTGAAAGGAGGCCAATCACCGTTTATCTAAGGGATGCAAACAAGCTGGCTTGATGCACATTGTACATACTATTTGTTGGCGTCTAACAACCACTTGTGCATGGTACATGACCTGAAGATTGTATGGAATTCCAAAAAAGAAACACATGGACGTCTGTCTGTCTGCACCAATTGCCAACCAGAGCGGCGGTAGTGTTCCTGCAAGTCAGCGCTTTGAGAAATCGCCCAGCTTTGGAAACACCACTCCGGCAAGATGCCGCCCATCTCCGCATTCACATCCCACCTGAGCGGCCAAACATGTACTCCGAAGCCCAAGAAAAAACTTTGCACGTTGTTTTTTCCCCAAACAGTGTGGGCGCACTGAGGGGTTCTTACGATATTTTGATGTTTTGTCTCAACATCAATGGACCTCAAGGCAACCAGTGAAAGATCCCAAAAAATCCCAGTCTCCTGCCCTCAGCAGGGAATCTGGCCAGCCTTTCTCGCGTCCCGGAGTTGGTTCGGCGGCAGGCGGAGTCTCTCTTTTCATTCACGTCCGGAAGTTCAAAAGGCCCTAAACTATCCTAAACCAACTTGTGTCTGTCTGGTGGATCAGGAACATGAAGGAAAGCTTTTGACAAATCATCGCTTCAACCAATCCTTGCCACACCATGAAACAAATACAACACGTCTCCTCCCAACAATAAACTGCTGACCTCCAAAAAAGCGGTCGGCTCTTCTTCCAGGTCACAAGGTCTTCAACATCATCACCGCTGCCGAGACATCCGATTGGTTCTGCCCCGGCTGGGTGAGCACGTAGGTCACGTACTGCTGCATCACCGTGACCACACGGCCAAAGTACTCGCTGGGCAAATGCTTGAGCCATCCGAAGAGGAGCTTCTGGGAATCCTGGACGCCACTCGGAGCGAGCAAGGACGCCACTAATTAGTAGCTCCTGGCCTTACTACTAGGAGCAAGAAGCTAGTAGGAGCAAGGGCATCGCTACTAGTAACAAAGGGCCTTACTACTAGTAGCATTCTTGCTACTAGTAACAAAGGGCATCGCTACTAGGAGCAAGGACGCTACTAGAGGAGCTTCTGGGAATCCTGGAACCCGGCACCCGACCGACGCGTCCCGCACCCAGTTTGCCAGGTGCTCCGTACATGGCTTTTGCGACATGTGTGCGCTTGATATGTGGCTCCCGGTTCTTCCAAGTGACCCTTTGAGATCCCAGGTTGAGATCCCAAGAGCCTCACTCAGGGTCACTCAGGGACTCTCAAAAGAGTACTTTCAGGAAGCTGGTGCTAAACCCAAGTCAAGAATCATACCCTCCCACAGTTCCACACACCACACCACACCCCTGTGTCCAGCCGTTCACACTCCAGGCCCCCCAAGTCCCCAAGGTGTTCCCACTCCCGGTGCTCCTTGGGCAACGAGAGGACGGCGGCGGTGAGCTTTTGCAGGGCCACGTGGAAGCCCGCGAAGAGGGAGGTCCGGTGCTCCGCGAGGAGCAAGGGATTCTCGAAGAGCACCAGGAAGACGCAGAGCGTCTCCGGATCATCGCTGGGCACCTGGACACGCGTGATTTGGGCAACGAAAGGAGAACAAGCGAAAAGAAACCCACGACGTGGTCTCCTCCGAAAGGAGATGTTGGTTTCATTCCAGATTCCAAGACTTTGATCCGAAACAGACATATATATATATATATATCGTTTTCGTCTGAGAAGACCCACCGATCCCGTGGGTTTCCGGGAGGAGATAGAGGATGCCCCATGGACACACCTCTTCCAGGAGATTGACCACCTCGTCCCACAACAACCTCCACTGGATATTAGGTTCAATGATGCCAGCAGATTAGCCGATTCAATAAGGAAAATGAAGTCGCACAAGGCCATAGGAGCAGATGGATGGCACGCCGAGGAGCTACAAGCACTCACACCGACCATGTTAGACGACTTAGCTAGATTATTCGAGGCAACCTGGACGCATGGGTTGACCTCAAACCTCATGCAGGCAAGAACGCTCCTTTTCGCAAAGTGTGATAAGCCAAAGGCTATTAATGATGGCAGACCGATAACAATACTGGGATACATAGCACGGACAACATCCAAAATGATATCGGACCAGATCCTGCAAGAGTGGTCAAACCGCTGGCCGCCGGCAATTAGCGGGGGTTTACCCCGTAGATCCGCAAGAGACCTCAGTATTCTCCAGCTGTCCCAAATAGAAGAATCGAAAATCTCACGCACAGCCTGGGGAGGCTGGACGATGGACTTAGTGAAAGCCTTTAATTTAATCCCGCGTCGTGTCATTCGCTATCTGTTTCTCCGTCTTGGTGTGCCCTCGGCCGCATGTAATTTTTGGTTTCTTTCACTGAGTAGAATGACACGAGCTCTGCAATCCGGGAAATCTCTGGGCGAAGCCCATGGGGCAACAACTGGTCTGCCAGAAGGTGATAGTATGTCCGTTGTCGGAATGCTTGCCCTTAGCTACTTATACTATCAAAGGATCCGAACACCAAAATTGCACCCATACACCTATGCTGATAACTGGAGTTTCATGAGTATGGATCAAAGAGACTGTATGCAAGCCATGATCAAAATATTCAATCTAGTCCACTCTTTAAAAATGCGGATTGATTTCACAAAGTCATGGTGTTGGGCCACAACAAAACAGTTTCAAGAATTCTGGAAATCCACTTCGGTCTTACTCATGGACCCCACATTCCAATTCACCATCAAAAGTCATGTTCATGACTTGGGATGCATGTTGCAGTACTCCAACCGAATTGTCTTAGGACCACTTCGAGACAAAATCGATAATGCTATAGCACGCTGCAATAGACTCAAAAGACTACCTTTGAATATCGACGAAAAGGGTGAAAAGATTCAGACTGCGATTTGGCCTTATCTCTTCTATGGCACACTAGGCATGCCCTTGGGTGATAAACATTTCAAAGCACTTCGTAGGGCAGCCACGAACGTCCTAGTTGGTGACTTTAAACATGCCTCCAGTCATATCGCTATGCAATACCTCACACCACGAGTACAAGACCCAGAGCTATACGTAATCAATGACTTAATTACCACGCTGCGCAGATTGCTTTCGTATTACCCAGCCCTCGCAAACACATTTGTACAAAGAATCATTACCTTTGACGGTATGGTCACAGGACCAGCCACCACAATTGCCTACTACCTTAAAAACTAAATTGGGAGCTAACTGATCAGGCGACTTTGCTTGGCCCTGGAGGGTTAAGAGTTAACATTAAAGACAGCTCTACGCGACACATAAAGCGACAGACGAGGATCGCCTGGGATTGGCACTGCTTCCAACAAATTCAGCATAGAAAAGGCTGTGCACATCAGCCCTTCGATTCGGACACAACTCACAAGTTGATCAAGACGTTGACAGATAGGCAACGAAAAATTCCTGCACTTACCAAGACAGCAGGCTGGCAGAGTAATGGAGGTCTTGCCATCTGGAGCGCTACGCAAGATCCTAAATGTACCTGGTGTGGCCAAGTCGACACTCACACACACCAGATGTTACGCTGCCCGGCATTCCAACATGTTAGAGACCAGCACAACACCGCCGCCCAGTTTATGCAACAACACCCACGAACATGTTGGTTCCCCTTGCCCGTGCATTCCCCTGATATTGCCTTACTCCGACACTGTCACTCAAGCAGTCACGGCCATACAACAAGGCGCGGTATTTTACACAGATGGGTCATGTGATGAGCCTACGAGCCCGTATGTGGCACGCGCAGCATGGGCAGTCGTGCTGCGTCAAGCTAACCCAAATATTCCAGAAACACAGACAATTACCATCACGGCTAGTGGACATTGCCCAGGACACCAGTCCATTAACCGAGCAGAGTTATATGCATTTCTCATAGCCACTGAGCAGGCAATATGTGCTGGCCTTCAAGGGGGGGTTGGCATTTGTACAGATTCACAATTTGTCATGGGCATTGTAGAAGCAGTAGAGCAGGAAACCGTTCACCACCACCCGCATAAGCGTGCGCACTGGGATCTCATCTATAGGCTTTGTCAGATATGGGATTCCACGAAGCTGTTTGCTTTTAAAATCCAGTCGCATAGGAACCTTGAAGATGCACGAACGGTCCAGGACTTGTGGAATATCTTTGGTAATGATTGTGCAGACCGAGCAGCTGTGCAGATGAGGAAGACTGATCTGCCGGAATTCGATAACTTATGTTATCAGGTTAAGATACATTACCAGGAAGAGCATAATGCCCATAAAAAAAATCTACTTGTACTTGCTAGACCTAGCTATGGCACGGATGAGCATGGACGAAAATACACCCCATGGAGACGTGCATGACCGTGCCGCCAGACGTCACAATCCTGAAGACCATTTGATGCACACAGTGCGTTCTCTTACGCAGTGGACGATTTCAGAAACGATATACCAAGGGCCCCCGGAGCCACACAAGGTCGTTTTCTGGTCTAGCACATGGGGTATTAATATAACTCGCCTGGTCTGGCAGTTTTGTCAAGAGCTACGGTGGCCCTGTCCGATGGTACCGCGTAATAAGGATGACTCAGGCATTACCTGGGTTGAACTGGCCATGTCATTCATGTTGTGGTCTCAGCGATACCCGCCAATAAAGATTAAAAGTGACAAGGTATGGCATGCATATGATGTTACTGACACAAAGGTTCAAATGTTACCACTTAAAAACCGTTCGCTGCGTGTCGTTTCCGAGTCCTTTCGATACATTGTCAAGCACATTCAAACATTTTCCAACACAAAAGTCATTCCGACTTATACTCAGCAGGGAGCCACAAGCCTGACACGTCTTGGTTTCACAGTAGACCAGCGGTGCGGAATTTCGCGCCGCCCATATCTTCCCAATGCAAATGATGTATACAAATGGATGCATGAAATTGTGCTCACAATGCCGAACAACCCGCCATATCATACCGATATCGAACTACCGGCCATACCCTCTCATCCTAATAGGCCAACATGGCCTGACTGGCCGGAGATTACTCTTTCCAAAAGGGAACAGTTCTCTCGACAAGTTCGTAATCATATGGCCCGTAAGAAAAGTTTGGACTTAATTCTCTGGCCAGAGCCTAATTAGGTCGTTTTCTTGTACCTCTGCAAAATTCGCATCACTTGAACTTTGTGCACCTGATTTGTTTGTTCGTTTGTTCTTCATGCTATTGCTGTTTCGTTCGTAGTTGTGCGTAGATCTCGTGTCAACCCTTGGTGAAAATACCATGTGGTGTACAGGCTTCATGTGACCTTTTCTTTTCACACCCACCCCAACCCCCCAGAATACCTGGGAAGGGGGAGAGTGGGCGCGCGTGTCATGATCGACCGTCCGCAAGTTCGTGTATCCAGTGGGTTTCTTTCTTCTTGCCCCCCTGATCCAGTGTGGGGCACCTTGTGCTTGGACAACTCGTCACAGATGGAGAGCGTGGCCCTCAGGGAGCGAGGAGGCAAGGGGGCCGCCGGCGGCTTTCTGGGAACCGATGTATGAAGAGAATCTGGTTGGGAAACGGCAGGAAGTGTCACATCAAATCACATTAAAATCAACTCCTTCCTTTTTAAGATGTTACTTCTTTCTCCGTGTTGACGGAGAGACTTGTCGTCTCTCTGTCCCTCTTTGAACTTGTGAGCAACGTGAGTGGCAAGTTGTTTGGCCCATTCTTCACCCCACACCACACCACGCGACATCAGCATAGATCCTTTAGCACTCCACAAAACAACGAACTTGCCCCTCCTGCCCAAAGTATTTACCAGCTCCGCATTGTTCAGCTCGAAGACCAACGTATTGTAGGCCTTCCGGCAGCGCGAGCAAGCAGTGAAACGACCCCGCACACGGCCGGGCGCTGTGGGGCCGGGCCTGGCCACAGAAGGTCCGGTTTCTTGGCCATACATCACGCAACTATCAGGAGCATACATCCACATATATCCACCACATTCCACAACACCCTACTACTCTACAATTCCACGACTGGACTTGACGTGCCATCCCTTCCTCACTTCCTCACTTCCTTGCACCCATTGATGGACCACCACCCACCACCACCAAAACCGCCGGTCTGGCGACCCGCAAGGGCCGGCCTTGCGGACCTTCAACAGATCCACCCCACTGGACTCGGCGCTCGTGGTGCTGATGCGTCCCGTGTCCGTCGCTGAAAGGCGAAAGGAGGCGTTGAGGACACTCACTGAGCTGAAGGCTGCGCCGATGGCTTTCACCAAGGAGACCTGGAGGGCTCCAGATGGAGGGGCCCGCTCAGATGTGGGTCGTGTTGTTGTTGAAAATTCGGTCCTGAAAAGCTCTGGAGAGACCCAAGGTCCATGGGGTTCATGATGGTCCATGGTTCTTTTTGGGGGAGGTTTCTGGTCACACGACACCACTGTTGCTGGATGTGGGGATGTTGGTTTCTGGATCCAAAACCCGCGCCCCAAGGTCCTTGCACTGCAAAGGGACAACACCAGGTAGGGAAAAACCGGCGGTGCTATGACTCACAACCACCTCACCTAGACAACCAGCGGCGAGGTACGGGAGTTGAAACGGTGCGACGGTGATGGGGGGCGTTCTTCATGGAGGCGAGAGCCAGACGTGCCCAGGAAACGTTGGGACTGTGAAGACCTCTGAAAAGAAGAATGCGCTGTAATCTAGTCTATCTGAGAGGATGTTGGGCTGAAACTGAAGGTTGAGAATTGGATAGAGACACTCTGATATCAGCTATTCGGAACAGGAGCTGTTGCACACTGCCAGTTATTCAATTCCACCTTCGATGCCCCAGCCCATGCTATCAATTGGCTCTGTCTCAAAGAGTCGCCTTTAGGAAGTCACCACTTTTGAGGGACGAGTCCTCTTTGTGATGTTCAGGACACCAGTCACATCTGAAATGGCCATGCATGGCCACTGTCGATGATGGCCATGAAATCCTGATGCTCCCGGAAATGAAACCAGCTTGGACCTGCCGAACCAAATTGGTCGATCCCATTGGTCGATGTTTTTGCCCCCTCACAAGCTCAGCAGCTCACCTGTTGAGAGGCTTCTCCTGGACGCAACTTCCGCAGCACGCCCAGCAGTTCATCAGCATCGATGGCGGTCTGCAAGGAATGCCGAAAGCTCTGAGTCCTTAGGGTTTGAGAGCTCAGCAGCCCGAAAGTCTGGAGTTCGTTGACTTATGTTGACTCCTCCGGTCTTGCAGATCGACTCTGCCTGGAACAAACATCGAAGTGTAAAAAATACTGTAAACGTGCGCACTTCCCAGCATCCGAGGACTCTGCATATGGGCTTTTGGGTAGCCATTCGCAAATCCGTTCGATGTGCGCGTCACGATCAAGAAGCTATGGTGCGCCAGGGGCCCACTCATCAAGCTGATGACTCGATAACTGGGATCCAACTTCAGCTTCTGTGGCAAGGGGGAGATCTTCAGCTGCTCCTGTAACTGACTCTTGGGGAGGCCCAGCTGACCGGAGGAGCCGAGACCCCAGCTATAAACGCTCTCTTTCAAGGACTCCTCGTTTTGAACCAAGGCCAAGCTGTGCGAGTGCCCGCAGGCCACTTGCAAGCAAATGCCCACTTCCTTCAGGACTTCCACCACCTGGAAAAGGGGTACGGAACTCGGGATCACTGGACAAACTCGGACAAACCATCCTGGGATGATCTGGACTGCCGAAGTACTCCGAAGTCAACCAAATTAGATGACGGGCTTCTTGTGCATTCACCATCTTTTTTGAGCATGAGCCATCCTACAACCAACCCAAACTGAACTGCCAACTGAACCAACCGAGTCCTTCTCAACGCCCTCTCCACACCCAACTCGCCGAACACCACTTAGGAAAGAGGGGGCTCTACTGGAAGCTGCCAGCCTCGCAGACTCGCAGTGTCCAACGTGAAACACCCCACCCCACCCAACCTACAGACTTCACAGCAAGGCCCCCCAAATTCCTTCCAACTGGAAATTGCCACCCGAAAAAGCCATCCAACCCCCCCTTTTCACCCACTTTCTCCCCACCCTTCACCCCACCTTCCCCACCTTCACCCCTCCTTCCTCCCGCCTTGGGATATGGCTCCGTCTCCGCAATGCCTCCGGAGCCCAGCTGCCCAGAGCCCCCGGCACCGAAGGCCAAGACCAGGCCCTTCTCGCTCAGCGCCAAGCTGTGGCGCTGCCCCGCCGCCACATCCACGCAGCGGGAGACGCGCAGGGCCTTCACCTGGAAGGTGGAAGAGAACGGTCACATCTTCAAGAGAGAACCTCTCCCCAAAAACGCATCCATTCCACTTGATGCATTTTAAAGCTATCACGAGAAATGTTCACAATTTACTGGACTTCGCCCCCCCCAAAACCCTCCCAAGTCTTACCCGATTTCCCAAAACCACACCTGCTCTGGCCGGAAGCGAGGCTTCAAGTCTCCCAAGCCCAGCTGGCCATGCTCATTGCAGCCCCACGCCCACAGGAGACCCGTGGCTGTCCGCGCCAGCGCGTGCTGCGCGCCGCAGCAGACGCGGACGATGGGGCGCGAAGACAACGAAGCGACCACCTGCGAAGTGGGAGGCAGCGGTGGCGGAAGAGATAGACAAATGGACTTCCAAGTATCCTGGCACCAAAGCAGAGAACACTTCCGATGGGGCTTCGCAAAAAGGATGAAAAAGAAAGCGTCTGTCATGGGAGGGCTATGCCACAGAAGATGGGAATCAGTAGCTGGCTTGGTGGTCATGTTGTACATGTCTGTGGTCATGGTCAGCTTGCCCCAATACGACTGAATATTAAGCCCCAGCGATGCCATGGAACCCATCTCTCGACTCCGTGTTCGAGTTAAGCACTTGGAAAGATGTGATCATTCCAAATGTTCAAAGTAAGACACTTGTCACTCCGTGTCATCAAGCATCGCTTTCTGCAGCAAGGAGAAGAATCATTGTGTCATCTGGTGCCTGTATCTCAAGCCACTCCAAAAAGTGCTTGAATGCTGCGAATGCCAATCAAGATCAAACCAAAGGGCCACGAACATTCACAAACCATGAGTCAGTCACTGCGATGTCTCGCCGCGGCCATGAGACATCTGAGAGTCCGTGGGATCTTCCGTGGGCTCCACTTAAAACCGAGTCTGCCCCCCCCCCCCGGGTCTGCCTTGGGAGTGGCACTACTCACAAAATCTCCGCTTCCCAGCTGCCCGTGCTTGTTCTCCCCGAAGGCCAAGACCTTCCCCGAGCGGCAGAGGGCTAGGCCTCAGTTGCTGGGGGCACCAGGAATAGTGCAAAGAGAAGAGTTTTGGGTGAAAATCCTGACCCTTTGGCGACCTGAAGGCCCTTGTGAAAGCGATTGGACATCCTTACCCTTCTCAGGCAAGAATGAGAATCTTTGCAGGAATGTGTGACTGAAAGCACGACCCATGTGTCAAACTGTCTCAGCAACAGACAGCTTGATATAGGTGACAAAGGTTCACAGGCAGGATGTGGGACGGAGTGCATATCTTATTCGAACCAAACGCGAGGGCCAAGCAACTTCCATTCTACATCATTCTACCGGAAATAAACAATGAGAAACATTGCAGGAGGACAGATTCTGAAACATTGACAAACAAATCCCAATGTATGTTCCTTTGACGTTCAGATAGTCATGTATTCCATATAAACGGTCCTTCAATCACGATGAAGTGTCCCAAGTCACCACCAACTGAAAAAAGACACTGTCTCAGACCGACATACTTTGATCAATGGCTATGTAGCTCTAGGGTTTCATTCGACTGAACACGTGATCACCTCCTGGCTTTCGAACCCGTGAAAAAAGTCCGACCCCTTGGATCACCGGGGAACCGGGGCACAGACACCCGTCTGCCCAGATTCCCCACCTCCCCAACCAGAGACCCAACCAGACTCTTATTCTCGACGCTTTGCCCACGGCTGTGGCTGTGAGACGCCATTTCTCTTTTCGTCACGCGGCAGTGCGATTCCCCCGCCGAGATCTGCAGGAGTTGCTCGCCCGAAGCGGAGGAGAACTTCACGCGCTCCTTGTCATCACGGTCGGCGCCACCCATGCCCAGCTGCCCTCGATCGCCCCGCCCTGCAGAGCGTGGAGGGTTGGAAATCCAGGAGTTTGGCGATGCTGGGGGACGTGATCAACTGAATGAAGAACTGAACAAAAAACTCAAGTTCACTGAACCCAAAAGGTTGTCTCACAGATTTTGTGGAAGCCTTTGGGCATGGAGCCTACTCCCGCCTACTCCCATCAAGCGGCCATCAAGTTTGCCGGCTAAGACGGTAAAGCCATTGCCAGCGGCCACACTCTCAACCGGCAAGTGTTCAATGGAATCGATCCTTGGGGAAGATTTCACACTCAGGATAGCAAGAGCATCGCAGGGCATGTAAACAAGCCGTCCACATTTGGGGATTGCTGTTTTTCCCCACCCACTCATTGAGGCTCGGCTTGTAGGTTTACAACGACTTTTGACTGTAAACACAAGAATCTTTACACCGAGAATTGACCCTCTTGAACCAACTCAACCTCAACCATCCCGTTCTCACCGAAAACGCGCTTCAACCTCTGCAAAGCTTGAAGAAATGTGCACAAAAGCGGCAGGAGCCACCCTGTTGAGTGTTGCACCTACTCCCCGGGCAAAGGGACCACATGGAACCCCCATGGCCCAGGTCGGGTGGGTCTTCAACCCCGCCCAAGGCTCTTGAAGGGCTTCGTCCGCTTCCCACTGCGGCCCAACTGACCCGAGTCGTTGTCCCCAGCCGTGTACACGATGCCATCCGTGGTGAGCCAACTGGAGTGTCTCAAGGACATGGCGCAGCTCCGGACCTGGATGCTGTCGAAGGCTTTGAGTTCACAAGGCTCAAAGATCTTGTCGTCATCATCATCCAAAAAGCCACAGCCCAGCTGACCATCCGAGTTGTTGCCCATCCCGAAGACCACGAGTTCCGAGCAGCTCGCCGGCTCGACGAGCCGCTCGTTCGCAGCGTTCGCTTCGAGGTCCACCTCCATTGAGACGCGCTCCATGGCAGGGCCTCATCAAGCTTCCATGGTGCCCAAATCAAGCTTCCATGGCGCGGAAGCGCACGACGCACTCAACGGCCAGCTATATAAATGGAGAAAGGTGAAGAGCTTGATGTTCGAGAACAATTGGGAAGATGTGAGTGGAAGTCAACATGTTGGCCACGTAAATCTCTTTTTTGAAGGAACGGTTGAAGTCAACAGCGAGCGCTTCAATGGAAGGTTCAATGCTGTTCAAGTCATATCTTGATGTGCTTTGCGTGTAACTGTCTAGCAAAGTTGCTGTGCCATGCGTTTGACGCAACTATGCACAACTAAGAGTCGATAATGTTTCTAAGGCTTGATTCCGACATGTCAAGTCACGAGTCGCTGTTCAGTAGACTCAATAGACCACCCACAATAATTGACCCCCGTCAAAATACATGTCAACCTCCCATTTCCAAATGCTGACATGGTTTCGACTGAAACCCATGCACCGGTTGCGAAGTTTAGCTGAAGTGGTCAGCCCCCAAGGCATTGGCACACTTCACCACTGAGTCCTTCAGAAGCCCCCGCAGTTCTACTCAATCAGACTGGCCGCATATCAGGGCTTGGCTCCATAGCCTGGTCCCATCTCTACTGCTGGATCCCATCAAGTCTCTCAACCTCTCGGCCTATGGCGAAAAGAAACAGACTTCGTTGGATTCGGCCTTCAGCTGATCCGGCTTATCCTTCAACCACTTCTGCAATTCCAGAGGTGCCAAGAGCTCTGGAGGTGCCTCCTACCCGTGTCTTCGGTACGCGAACCGATCGAACCGACGCGGGCGGGTGGCTGCACTCCGCTTCGTCCCACGTTGGCTTCGTCCGCTCCAACACACAAAGAGTAGCTCAACATGGACGCAAAGACCCACGACCCTCACTTCAAAAGCAACCCCAGTTCGGCCCCTACCGTCCACCGACCTCGTCCCCACGAATTCCGCCCGGACGGGGACGGGGTTGATGAGGTCATTCACTGGGTATGAATAGATCCTGATCATATACAAGTCTAACTGCGTAGATATATCCAACTCTGGGTACAATAACATGAGCATATATTCAAATATGACCCATATTGGTAGTTCATGACCTGGGTCGTCTCCCCTTCCCATCTGATCCACCCACCAACGCAAAAATAAGAACAGATGCATCATGATGCATCAAAACGACAGGCTCCAGTTCCGCCCGGGGCGACTCCGGGTTCCTGATGCTCGCAGAGGTACTTCAAAGCAGCTGAGTTGTCCAGCAAGCGATTTGCCAGCCTCGGCCGGCGATGCGAGGGTTGTTTTGGAGCTGAGGGAATACGCAGGGCTGCAAGGGAGGGAGGGAACAGCGGCCAGGCTGAAATGTGTGAGCTCAGACTGGGCAGGACCCCCCCTTCCCCGTTTGAGGCTGAAGAGGTTTGTTCCCAAACAAACACCTGCGCGGGCCGTGTGACGGCCGTGGGTCATCCACAGCCTGTCAGCCACACAAATGACACAACCTGTCAGCCGTCATACCGAGTCCTCTGGCATGTGGAGATGATGTAACCAAAACAGACCCAAACCCTGGCAAATCCTTCACCTGATCTTCCTCTTCCCGCTAGTCCTTATCAGGCTCGTTCAGCCTCGCAATCTTGGTTTCTCCCTCATCTTCTCGGGGACCTTCGCTGACCCTTCCAGAAAGGGCCTCTAGATGAATCCCTTGTGGGATTGGGCTGCTTTGGGTTTTTAGTCTTAAATAAAGCCTGGGGTTTCACCGTGTGGGCCGTGTGTGCGCCTTTCCTCTCTGCCACCACTTCGACTTGCGTCCAAAATGCTCCAGAAGCCCATAGACCGCACGCGGCGCGGCACGGCCCTGCCGCAGTCGCGACGGGTTTGGCGGTCGCCGTCCGTGGCGGTTGGAGGAAACGAATCTCTCCGTTTTGGGCTTGGGGTAGGTACCATCCAGCAGGAGATGCTTCAAGTAGGTCTTCACAACGTGCTGGGAGTGAGCAGGCCAAAAAGCGGAACAAAGATAGTTTGGAGTGAGCAGGCTCACCTGCTTTTTTCACGGCCTTTTCTCACAATTCCCTGACTGGTGCTCAGTGGGGAAGAAGGGAATGAGCCCCGACTCCATTGGATCCATTCCCTCATTCCCTACCGAGCACAAGTCAGTGTCCGGCGCACCATCACCGTGCCCGAGGATTTGGTGCACTGTGTGCAGGCCCTTAAGCTGGAAAACGGAAAACGATTGAATAAAAGCTCCAAAAAGGTGGAGAGAAAGGGAGCGGGTCGTTGGAACCTCCGGTGCGCCTCGGGCGTGCGGAGGAGCAGCTCCCGGACGCGCTCGGCGCGGTAGTCAGCCGTGAGCCCAAAGCCTCGGTGACATTGGCCAAGATGTTCTCTCACGTAGACTGTTGATGATGTTGATTTCAAAAAAAGGAGCCCACTATTTGGGAGGGTTCAAACATCTCCATATGGGGGGGTTGAAATATCATCCATAGCCTACATTACGGCTTGGGTTCACTGAAATCATCAGCAGGCCCGTTCGCAGACCAGCAGCTCCTGGGGCGCCGTTTGGTGCCACTGAGGTCATTGCACTCGTCCCATTCTCGCATCAAGTAGTCCTGCCAGAGCGACTCACCACGGACTGGCCACCAGTGGCCGGTAAAGACATCCACGTTTGAACAAACCGGCACCACATCTCCATCCATCCACCCATCCACCCTGGCCGAATCCTTCAGCAGTTTCCAAGATCCTGCATGATGCTCCTTGCTGGACGCCTCAATCAGCCGCAAGCACGACGGCCATGCGGACGCGCAGGGGAGGTGGACTGAAAGGGCTTGGGGAGCTGAGCTTCGTGAGGAAAAAAAGGAAAAGCCTTAGGAATTGAAGCCGTGCTCCCAGAAAGACTCATCCGGTTGATATTGGGTCCCTTGAATAATATAGAGTATAGATATGCGGTGCAGCCTTTTATCGGTCCTTAGGTTAGGTTAGGAAGTGCCACCAATCTATGCAAACCTCGCATCACAATCACAGCATGGCAGCACGACAGAAAGAAAGAAATGTTCAACACAAACATCAGCAAACAAATCTACATTCGACATCCTCAATTCGCCAACAGAGCTCTACCCCTACAAGTCCGAAGACCTATTCAGTAAAACCTGGTCTTAAACCTCCTTGAGTAAGGTTCTTGTGTGACCAACTCCAGTAGAATGAGGTCCAACTGACGGGCAGGGTGTGAGCAACATCTGCCGCTTCTTTGAGACATCAGTTCTGATGGAGGCCATCCGCACCGCAGTTCCAAGTGTGCCACTTGTTCAAATGCCTTCTAGAAAAGGGGTCCCAAATAGCCTGCCTCTACACAAAACAAGAGGAACCTGCCTCGATCAAATCACGAAAACCACATGACTTCTCAATTCATCCCTGACCCGCGCGTTGCCCCCGCGCAAAGGGCTCGGACGAACGTGTCCCGCGCGTTCCCCGCCTGACAAGGGGCGAGGTCCAGAAGGGCGATGAAGGGCTGGTCATCGCCCAGGTTCAAGGCCACCGCCGCCCACCTGGGAAGAGGAAACCGGCACCAGCGCGGATGGGTGGAGAAGTTCGGTGAGACGCGAAGTCAGTGGACAGCCGTGCAGAACAGTGGGGCACGGTCTGGTGCAATGGAAGACTCGTTTTCATGTTTCAGAAAGCGGTCGGGTCCCTCAATACACTGTTGCCATGCGGAGAGAAGTCAGCCTCTGCTTGTAGCACATCTCGACCCCCTCTGCGCATCGGATTCGGCTGAGAGTCCCGAACGGCTGGACGATCAAGGCCAGCCAAATGTGGCAGCTCTCTGTGTCATGGCATGGCACCTCGGTCTGGGCACGGCTTTCAATCACTGAGATCGGTGTGACCATCTGGGGCCATACAAGACCTTTCTTTGTAACTCATGTTCAATGACATGATGGGCTCCCGTACCAAGATCAAGTTGCGTCCGAAGATGCCTTCAGCACGCTCTTTCCTGCCGATGGCAAAACCTTTCCAGTTCCCTCTTGAACAGGACACCTGGTGGCTTTTTGCGTATTATTCAACGACGGCGGGCATAAAGACATCTAAACTAAAAGGACTGACCTGTGCTCGAACATCAGCAGGAAGATCAAACTTTATCATAAGAACATCTTCAATCTTCACCCAAATATACCCAAATGCGTTTGTCCAAAAAATCCGGCAATTCGGAATCGACTGGTGTCGATTCCTTGTTCGTCTTGTTCTTTTTTCACAAGGCTTTTTCCAGGCGTGCCCTCAATGAACCGCGGCAAAGTTGATTGTCACCTGACCGCTGTTGCTCAAGTATCCCGGGTGTTCTCCCATCTCCGGCTGATACCAGTAGCAATGGAGATGGACATTGTCTTGAGTTGTGGCTGTCACATGGACTGGATTCTGCTCATTGCTTTTATGGTATCTTTCATCGTTGTTTGCTTATCTGCTAAGGGGTTCACCTTGTCCCTTTTTCATCCACACTCCACGAAAGTTCTTGCTCTTCGAGTATCCGCAAATATTCTTGCAGATCTCTCAGGACCTTTGAAGCAATCCATTGCTTTGCAGAATCCTACAGTACACCTTGCAGAGCTCCTTCTAAAACCTTGTACGAGAGACGGTCATGTAGACTGATGATATGTTCCAACCCACCATATCAAGAAGATTGACGCTCCAAAATGGGAGGGTGTTCTTCATCAAGAGTCCACCTGATCTGCCACCAGTGGCCTGCACTCCGCAGAGATGGCATGCGCCTGGAGCGGAATCCAGGAATTCTTTGTGCATTTGAGTTTCTCTCCAGACCTCTCCTAAGGAGATGTTCCCTACAAATGGGTTTCTTGATGTTCCTCCCTAATACTGGAGACGAAGGCAGCAGAGAAGGGGAAACAAGGACATTCATGTATTCACATTGTGAAGCGGGCTCATGTACATCAGAGCCTTCACCCCCCCCATGTTCCCAGCCTTCTCCAGCTCGCCCTTCACCAAATGCCCATAGAAGCGGCTGTCAAAGCACAGCACCCGATCTGCGTCCGCGTCGGCGCGCGAGGCGTTCGAAGGATCCCTTTCGTTCACATCCTGGAGATCCATGTTTAACAACTGAAGGTTGAAGAAACCGGCAAGGTGTTCATGGTTCACATCCAAGGTGTGTCTTGACTTCTTAAAGAACCTCCAATCCTTACGGTGTCCGCACGACGGGACCGGGTCCAGGGACGCTTGAACGGTCACGAGAACGGTCAGCTGAGGGGATTTTCGATGGTAGTGAAAACGAAAAACAATGCCAATCCCTTCATTGACCATGTCCATGTCAGTTTTTTTTGACCATGTCATGCCAATCTTGCATAAAGCATGACCATGTCGTGAGCCCGACCACGATGACGGTTCGGGTTTGAAGAGTCTTACTTTGAGAACGCGTAGGCGCGCGAGTTCCTGAAACTTCCCTGTCCCAACAGCCTGTTAACAGTGGGAGCAGTGGTTGAACTCTTTTAGAACAAAACACAAAAATCTGCAAAATTCCGCAGTCTTTGGAAAGGTCCAAAGCAGTGGAACTCTTCGAACTGTCCGAATGAGCCGGGATTTGGATGGATGTTCAACCCAAAACCCACCTGCACAAGCTCCTTGACTCGCCAGGCGAGGAAGATGAGAGTCCTGGTGATCCAGCAGAAGCAGCTGGAAGAGATGGTTTGAGGTACAAGGTAGAGTAAGTGTAGAAAATGGGGGGCGATCAAGGACACATTTTGGTTCATACTCGATCAAAAATGAGGCAAGAATCAAGACAACCACAGGGACAACGCATTTCGGAGTGTTCATAAGTTCGCAGGGCTTTTACTCACGGCCCTTGATGGAGTGACGGCTGAAGGCTTGTGGTAGCCACAAATCTCTTCGATTTTGGATGTATATACATCATCTTTTCCTGAACTAAACCTCACATGTCGGACACCCACAAATGACCAAGCTCTTTTGCAGACTGCAAGACTTTCTTCCAGCAGAAAACTACCCCAAACAATATGTTTTCAACAATTGGCTCATATCTTGTGACAGTCAGAATTCCCCAAAAAAATGCTGGTGGATGCCGCATAAACGTCGCATCTTCTCGCTTTCTTTTTTCTGGTGGTGCGTCGGTGGTGTCCGTGTCTTCGAAACTGGCGGCAATGCCACTCGCTCGGTCCAGTAGCGCCAGACTCTCCTTGAAGCTTTCTTGAAGCCTTGCTTTCTCCGGCCGAGCGGCTGCTCTCGGCCGGAGCTCGGCAAGACGACCGACTGGGCCCGGGGTACAGGGGGTCAAGACATTCAAAGACCCTCGAGTGAAGTAAAAGAGCAATTTGCTTGGCCGAAAACACGATTTGGTCTTGACTTTCAAGAGTCAGCAAAGGCTTTCGTCGGCCACCTGGTACGTGTTGCGGAGGCTGCCTCAGCACTGCCAGGGAACATGCACCGGGTGAGGACAGAGGTCAACAGAAGGCTGCAAATCCGAGACCTGAATTGGTCAACAATAAGAATTGGACCCGATGTATCATGCGCAAATAGGTCAATTCCAAGAATCACTTTCACACATGTTTGTTGATCAAACAAAGGTTTTCGATGATGAATCAAATGAGAAAGGCTCAAAGTCTAGAAAGTAGGTACAACCCAAACCAAAACCTGAAGCTCGATGAGTCATACTTATGCGCTTCGGCTTAGGCCTCAGACCGCACTTCTGGCTGGTGTGGGGATGGATCTGCGCCTAGGAGGGAGAAGAATGCGCAGTTCTACCCGGCACAGAACACCTATGCCCAAGCGGAACTCAACACATGATTCAGATTGATTCAGCCCATTTCTCCTCCTCCTTCTTCTCCTTCTTCTCCCAAATTCTTCCACCCCAACTCCACTGCCCTCTTGACACTCCCCTTCTCTCTTCACTCAAAAGCCCCTGCCTGGGGATGGCATCTGCCATGAGTCGTTCCCCCAGCTTCCGCCAGCGCTTCCGCAGCGACGCCGCCGAACCACTGGGCACCAGGGTGAGCTGGGCAGGCGCTGCCTGGCAGAGGCGTGGCGGCAGAGACGTCTGACGTGGTGGAGATTTAGATAGATGGGTGTGCATTACATGGTATTTACCATAGGCAAACCTCCAAGAAAAGCAACTCGAAGAGGAAGACTAGACCAAATACTAGACCAAAAGCCATTGGTGAGGGATCTCCCGTATTGAAATATGCACCCATAATTAGTAGATCATTATGATCTTCTACAGGCTCGGAACAGGAGCAGGTGATGGCTTAGTCTTGCCGCCCGTCGAAAGTTCCAAATGGTTCCAAGCCCCTTGTGAAGCACAAGCCATCTACGTCTCGTGTATCACACCACCTCAAACATCAAAGAGATGAAGCGACTGGGACAAACGAAGACGTGCGAGACCCAGGGCAGCCTTCCTGCAATATGGGTCTTGCGAAGCCACCACTTTCCTTCAAAACCCCGGAGCTTCGTCGTTTCAAAAACGACCGAACGCTGCGTCTTTCTCTCGTGCACCGGTGAATCCGCCCAAGCCGCCGTTGTGGAGCGCCGGAGCCCCGGTCGACCGGATCCCACCGAGTCTCCACCACTCCTGGTAGGTGCAAAGGTGCTCCAGCAGGCGCGGATCGTCCAGCAGCCTCCGCGCATACCTCGAGTCGGATGCAAGGTCGGTCGGGGAGGCGGCAAGGAAAGGAGATGGGGTTGGTGCAGATTGGGGCGAGATTGGATGTGGATGTGCGGTCGGAAGTCCCAGAGGATCTTTGTCATTCAGGAACAAGCCTGATTGGGATGCAGATGTTGAACAGCTAGGATGATGCTCTGAACAGTACTTAAGGAAATCGAATTTCAAGAAACAAAGCAGCAGCACCTCCCCGAACTTCGCCAACCAAATGTTGGAACCGATGCATGTGAAAGGCCTTGAAACTAAAACCCTCCAGGTTCTGAGTTGGTGAAGTCCTCGCTCCCGGCTTCGTCTTCCGCAGTGCTCAGCCTCCATCCTCCATTGGGTGAAGTGGGATCTTCATCCAAAGATTGCTGTGGATTTGGCCCAACTCCGATCCCTGGGTAAGGCCCAGGAGCAGCTGCTTGCCCAATCAACCCGCTCTGGGGGTCGGACTCCAGCACGTAGATCCCGCAATCCGTGCTGTTGGTCTCGGCACGGGTGTGCGGTGAACGCAAACAAGTCCAGCTCAAACGAAACTTCATGCCACTTGGTGTGCCACTTGCATCGACCCAACCGAAAAACCAACACATGGTCCTCACCCTAAAAAGACATGAGACTTGGATAGGGGCTTAGGTCAGATCTTCTCGGCACTCCCAACTCTCTCCCCCCAAGCCGTATCAGAACCCAAGAAGAATCAAGACCTTTCGTTCTTTTCCAGCAAAACTTTCGGAACATGCACGGCTTTTTCACAGATGGCCTGCTGTGGGACTTCTTTTTTTTCCACGAGTGCGGACGCCATGTGGGCGGAGTGCCCAGGTCATCATAGATGGCCTGCTGTGGGACTTCGATGGAAATGCCCTGGATGGACTCTTCGCAATACTCTTCAGCTCCTTCGCCAAAGCCTCGGAACGCGCCGGGTCTGAAGTGCTTTCTCGTGGACCCGCGGGACCTCGAGGTCCCGAAGTGCTTCATCGGAAGGACCGCACCACAGGGGCCGAAGCAGGCACCTTCCCAAACCAGTTTGACACGGTGGGGGGGGGCGAGTTTCGCATGCAACTCTGCAGAAATGTCTTTTCGGCTCCTGTTGAAGCCATTTGAGGCTCGCGCAGTCCAGCCATTCCTTCTTCAAGTACTCCTGCAGTGCTGCATGTTCTCCCGAACATGCGCCCACCGCCACCGGCCGCCCGTCTCGGTGTCGCTCGGACACAGCGTCGGAGCCAGGGGAACTGCCGATGTACTACGCCTCAAATAGCATGCTAAGGTTGAGGGGGTATTGGCAGAGTCCTAGAGAAATCTACCAGATGACCGAGTCCATGTTCTGTACCTGGATGCATGTTGACCCATGTGCCCCTCCCAATATGGCACACCAGCCAGGATGGTGTCGTTCAAAACAGTTCAAAGTGCCCCAACATCCACATAGATAGAGCTGTCATGACCCAAAAACATTTGGGAATCTCCCTCTGGATCAACCTCAGCTTTGGCCAACATGCTTTCAAGAATTGCTACAAAGTATATACTTACAACCGATCCAATTCCAATCTTTCAACCAACAACCCATCCATATCCATCCATATCCCCCATCTTCCTTCCGCCCCAGACAGGGCCCCCCCCAAGTCCCGCAAGAGCTTCAGCGCCGTCTGGTGCCGCAGATCTGCGGCGGCAGCAGCCTGGAGCAGAACCTGGACTCCACGTCGGTGTGTGGCACCAAAGGCTCACCGAGGGTGTCATCGAAAGAGATCTGATCCAAAAATCATGCAGGAAAGAGCGAGAGTTAACTCAGTAAACCTGTGGAAGTTTTGGGGGTCTGATTGGGCAAGTGGCCGAGTTCTTCTTCCGATTCTTCTGGCCGCGTCGATTCGCTTCCATCGCCTGGAGGTTTTCCGAGTCCACTTCACAAGAAGAGAGCCTCAGCGTCCACACGCTGCGGGGTGAGCGGTTCATCACTTCATCCTGAGAGCCTCAGGGAATCGGTTCAAAAGGGTGGCTCATGCGAAGGGGATTGACCAGATTGCCGTGCCCTTTGAGGAAAAAAGGACACTCACGGTTGGCACGGGCCATGCAGTTGGCTTTCCAGCCAGTCTTCTGGAAAGATTAAAAAGAGTCCACGTTTGTTTAAAGGTCTTTGGAAACATGACTATGACAAAGAACCGATCGCGTATCTGTCGTTCGCATGAAAGGAAGTGACTTCAGGGAGGCCCCGTGGTCCTCAATACCTTCCCAGCAGGCTGGTTTCGCTCAAAGGACCTGAGTTCTAAGCCACCTCGACATGGACTTGTCACTTGTCAAGAGTGCTTCTCATCCACTATCGCCCCAAAATCACACACAAACACAAACACACCCACAAAAAACAGGTCTGAGTCAGAGCACCTGAAACCACCGCGACTCTTGACTTTTGACCTATCAAAAAACTCCTCCTAACGTCTCGATTTCCGTCTCGATGTCCCTCTCGATGTCCACCGACCTCTGCCGACCACGCGGTCGGCGCCTCGGATCGATCGAGTCCAGGAAGGCCACGAAGGGCTGCCGCAGCGCGGGGCAGCCGCCCGGCGCCGGGCAGGCCGCCCACCTGGCGCCGGTGGCGGAACGGAACGGAACCGGTGGGGACCGCGGTTCCGGGGCGAAACAAAGTAGAACGCGGAACGGTCGGATGTTTTTGGGGGGATGGGGGGCCGGCTTCGTGTTTCCTCTCCATTTGGTTGGCGTGTTTGATTTTCTTCCAATTGTCTGTTTTGAGGTGCTGACGGACAGATCACCAAGGCCAACCACCAATGCTCCGTGGTGGAATCGTGGGCTGGTACCTGAATGCAAGGGGAGAGCTGAGAGACTTTGGTGCTGGGGGCTGGCTCTTTGGGTCTGGTTGTCTCACCACCACTTCCCCCCAACCGTGCCTCCAAAATCAGAAAGAGAGAGAGGAGGAGAAAAAAGATTGAGGAAGTTGAGAGAGAGAGAGAGAGAGGCCTGGCAAAAATGCCACTGATTGCCCCATTCACCCCGACCAGGAGGTCGTCACAGATCACAGAGGGGCTCTAGGATGCCCCACAAACAGGACCTCCTTGGCAAAGATGCCCGCGAGCTCCTTCTGCCTGGACCGGGAGCATGCGTGCTCACCGAGATCATGCGAACCGAGATCAACCCGTGGGGAACGAACCACAAACCAACCAACCAACCAACGAACGAACCAACCAACCAACCAACTAACTAACAAACAAGTACTAGCTTCAAATTGTGTCCAATGAGACAACTGTATAATTGGGCCCAATGTCCATGCTTTCCTGCGCATCCTGTGACTGAACAGGCTTAGACTCAGTCAAGACACGGTCGTTAGACTCTTGGTTCTTGGCAGATCGACTGAAAGCTGGAGTTCCAGAAATGCCTTGTGGACAGATTCGATGAGATGATGGCTCTCTGAAACAAGTCTCTAATTTCAATCAAGACACACATCTTTGGACAACTCATGGTAGGCAGCAATCCTTCCTTTGCCGAAGTACTTACTGTCCTTTTCGAAGCTTCCGCCACTGGCTTGCCCGAAGTACTAAAGTGTAGAGTAGACTAGAGTAGAGTAGGCTGGGGTAGGGTGAGCGGAGGAGAATAGAGTAGAGCACGGTCGAGTAGATTAGGGTAGTGTAGGGTAGAGTAGAGAGTAGAGTAGAGCAAAGCTAGAGTAGAGAAGACGCTTGGAAAAGCAGAGCTGGCTCAGCCAGGGTTTAGAGTAAACAAAGGTAGAGAAGAGTAGAGGACAAGAGAATTGGTAGAGGGAAATCAGTAGAGAAGGGTAGAGTAGAGTAGAGAACCAGTAGGGTAGGGGTGAGGTCAAGTAAAGTCCAGTACTGTCTGTGGGGTAAAGTAGAGTAAAGTGAGGTCGAGTAGAGTAGAGAATGCTGTCTGCTGCCCATGTTCCGTGCTGCTATGTGGTGTGCCTCTGTGGACAAAATGACAGGAAACGTCTTTGTCGCTTGCGACAAAGAATCTTTGAGGTGCTAGGCTAGGCAGGGTCTACGGGCTGTCAAAGCTTTACTTAGGTGCTACCGGGGCCTTCACAACTCACTATAACAATGCTTCCTTTGCCCATAGGTGTGCTTTTTTATGTTCCAAATTTCCAGCACTGGCAAGCTCTAGAGCACAGCAGGAGAGAGTATGGTAGAGTAGCAGAGAAGAGAGGGAGGAGAGGAGAGGAGAGGAGAGGAGAGGAGAGGAGAGGAGAGGAGAGGAGAGGCGAGGCGAGGCGAGGCGAGGCGAGGCGAGGCGAGGCGA